GGCCAGTGCTTCTCAACCTTAGCAACTTTAAGATGCTGGCTGGGGAATTCTGGGAGTTGAAGTCCATACATCTTAAAGTTGCTAAGGTTGAGAAGCACTGGCCTAGAGTGATGGTGGCTCCACTCACTGGGTATGTCCAAGCATACAGCCATTGTCTTGAATTGCTCTAACTTGGATTTCTGTGTTGAGCAGGGGTTGGATTCAATGGCTTAATGGCCATTTCAAACTCTATGAGTCCATGAAATGCCAGGAACAACTTGGTGTGTCTAGATACTACAGACTACAACCTGTATAGTGCTGTTATACAGTATTTTCATTTCGTATATGCTTACCTCTAAGCCACAGTATAGTTCTATTTTTCCCACAATGGCAACAACCCTGTGAGGTAGTTGGACAGAGAGAGTGACCTGCCCAAAATCACCCAGTGAGCTTCTGTGGCTGAGGGTGGACTAGAACCTGGGTCTCCTCAATGCCAGTCCAATACTTTAACTGCTGTACCACACTGGCCCTCTAACTCTTCCATGCCACTGGCCTTACTTGTTTATGTGAATTAGTCCAAGACATCTGGAAGGTACCATTTACCCATCCCTTTCTATACTTATAGTTGTCAGTTCTTATCTGGTTCAAAATAGCTTTATAAAGAGTTGTTTACTCCAGTTACCTTTGACAAGTAGAAAAAGTCTCTAGTGAGAAGTGGGAAAGCATTAGTTTTTCTCTCCCTTTTTTCTTTCAGAATTAATAAGTGAAATTGGAGGAACAGCTAGTGTGCATAATCCTTTCACTTATCCCCTTCTGTAGTCACATGATGGATGTCTGACTGACTCTCCAGCAACACTGCAAAAGTATGAAGGATCAGTCATGTTCCTTCATCCTATCTTGCCAGAAAAATGTCCACCAACTTGAATCTTCCAAAATTCTATTCAAGGTTCAGGGTTCTGCCTAAGTAGTATTGTTCTGCTTGTCCAGGAACATCTCTTGCAACACTAGAGTGGTATGAAGGCATGTCTTCTCGGTTGGACATGGCTGAGAATTTAAGACACACTTTCCCCATCTTGGTACCTTCCAGATGTACTGGACTCCCATTAAACTTAAGCATGCTGGCTGTGCCAGGCAACAGACTATTGGAGTTGTAGTCCAACTATCTAGAAAGCACCAGCTGGTTTAAGAAGTCAAAGGGAAGAACCCACCAGTTGAGTACTTACATTTTTTACTACTCCCCCATTCCACTGATCAAAGATTCAAGCAGAAAAGAAGGCAAATCTCTTTGGAGACTGCAGAGGCTAGAGGAACTACCAATAATATCCTAAAACCATCTGATAAAACTTCTC